ACAATTTTAAAATTTTCTTTGTTTCGTCTGATAGGTGAGATCGTCACCAATAATATGAAACAATTTTCACAACGATACGACCAACCATTCCGGAGATATTGCGAAACAGGCACTTCCACCAACAATTTTAAAATTTTCTTTGTTTCGTCTGATAGGTGAGATCGTCACCAATAATATGAAACAATTTTCACAACGATACGACCAACCATTCCGGAGATATTGCGAAACAGGCACTTCCACCAACAATTTTAAAATTTTCTTTGTTTCGTCTGATAGGTGAGATCGTCACCAATAATATGAAACAATTTTCACAACGATACGACCAACCATTCCGGAGATATTGCGAAACAGGCACTTCCACCAACAATTTTAAAATTTTCTTTGTTTCGTCTGATAGGTGAGATCGTCACCAATAATATGAAACAATTTTCACAACGATACGACCAACCATTCCGGAGATATTGCGAAACAGGCACTTCCACCAACAATTTTAAAATTTTCTTTGTTTCGTCTGATAGGTGAGATCGTCACCAATAATATGAAACAATTTTCACAACGATACGACCAACCATTCCGGAGATATTGCGAAACAGGCACTTCCACCAACAATTTTAAAATTTTCTTTGTTTCGTCTGATAGGTGAGATCGTCACCAATAATATGAAACAATTTTCACAACGATACGACCAACCATTCCGGAGATATTGCGAAACAGGCACTTCCACCAACAATTTTAAAATTTTCTTTGTTTCGTCTGATAGGTGAGATCGTCGCCAATAATATGAAACAATTTTCACAACGATACGACCAACCATTCCGGAGATATTGCGAAACAGGCACTTCCACCAACAATTTTAAAATTTTCTTTGTTTCGTCTGATAGGTGAGATCGTCACCAATAATATGAAACAATTTTCACAACGATACGACCAACCGTTCCGGAGATATTGCGAAACAGGCACTTCCACCAACAATTTTAAAATTTTCTTTGTTTCATCTGATAGGTGAGATCGTCACCAATAATATGAAACAATTTTCACAACGATACGACCAACCGTTCCGGAGATATTGCGAAACAGGCACTTCCACCAACAATTTTAAAATTTTCTTTGTTTCATCTGATAGGTGAGATCGTCACCAATAATATGAAACAATTTTCACAACGATACGACCAACCATTCCGGAGATATTGCGAAACAGGCACTTCCACCAACAATTTTAAAATTTTCTTTGTTTCGTCTGATAGGTGAGATCGTCACCAATAATATGAAACAATTTTCACAACGATACGACCAACCATTCCGGAGATATTGCGAAACAGGCACTTCCACCAACAATTTTAAAATTTTCTTTGTTTCGTCTGATAGGTGAGATCGTCACCAATAATATGAAACAATTTTCACAACGATACGACCAACCATTCCGGAGATATTGCGAAACAGGCACTTCCACCAACAATTTTAAAATTTTCTTTGTTTCATCTGATAGGTGAGATCGTCACCAATAATATGAAACAATTTTCACAACGATACGACCAACCGTTCCGGAGATATTGCGAAACAGGCACTTCCACCAACAATTTTAAAATTTTCTTTGTTTCATCTGATAGGTGAGATCGTCACCAATAATATGAAACAATTTTCACAACGATACGACCAACCGTTCCGGAGATATTGCGAAACAGGCACTTCCACCAACAATTTTAAAATTTTCTTTGTTTCGTCTGATAGGTGAGATCGTCACCAATAATATGAAACAATTTTCACAACGATACGACCAACCGTTCCGGAGATATTGCGAAACAGGCACTTCCACCAACAATTTTAAAATTTTCTTTGTTTCGTCTGATAGGTGAGATCGTCACCAATAATATGAAACAATTTTCACAACGATACGACCAACCGTTCCGGAGATATTGCGAAACAGGCACTTCCACCAACAATTTTAAAATTTTCTTTGTTTCATCTGATAGGTGAGATCGTCACCAATAATATGAAACAATTTTCACAACGATACGACCAACCGTTCCGGAGATATTGCGAAACAGGCACTTCCACCAACAATTATAAAATTTTCTTTGTTTCGTCTGATAGGTGAGATCGTCACCAATAATATGAAACAATTTTCACAACGATACGACCAACCATTCCGGAGATATTGCGAAACAGGCACTTCCACCAACAATTTTAAAATTTTCTTTGTTTCATCTGATAGGTGAGATCGTCACCAATAATATGAAACAATTTTCACAACGATACGACCAACCGTTCCGGAGATATTGCGAAACAGGCACTTCCACCAACAATTTTAAAATTTTCTTTGTTTCGTCTGATAGGTGAGATCGTCACCAATAATATGAAACAATTTTCACAACGATACGACCAACCATTCCGGAGATATTGCGAAACAGGCACTTCCACCAACAATTTTAAAATTTTCTTTGTTTTGTCTGATAGGTGAGATCGTCACCAATAATATGAAACAATTTTCACAACGATACGACCAACCATTCCGGAGATATTGCGAAACAGGCACTTCCACCAACAATTTTAAAATTTTCTTTGTTTCGTCTGATAGGTGAGATCGTCACCAATAATATGAAACAATTTTCACAACGATACGACCAACCATTCCGGAGATATTGCGAAACAGGCACTTCCACCAACAATTTTAAAATTTTCTTTGTTTCATCTGATAGGTGAGATCGTCACCAATAATATGAAACAATTTTCACAACGATACGACCAACCGTTCCGGAGATATTGCGAAACAGGCACTTCCACCAACAATTTTAAAATTTTCTTTGTTTCGTCTGATAGGTGAGATCGTCACCAATAATATGAAACAATTTTCACAACGATACGACCAACCATTCCGGAGATATTGCGAAACAGGCACTTCCACCAACAATTTTAAAATTTTCTTTGTTTCGTCTGATAGGTGAGATCGTCACCAATAATATGAAACAATTTTCACAACGATACGACCAACCATTCCGGAGATATTGCGAAACAGGCACTTCCACCAACAATTTTAAAATTTTCTTTGTTTCGTCTGATAGGTGAGATCGTCACCAATAATATGAAACAATTTTCACAACGATACGACCAACCATTCCGGAGATATTGCGAAACAGGCACTTCCACCAACAATTTTAAAATTTTCTTTGTTTCGTCTGATAGGTGAGATCGTCACCAATAATATGAAACAATTTTCACAACGATACGACCAACCATTCCGGAGATATTGCGAAACAGGCACTTCCACCAACAATTTTAAAATTTTCTTTGTTTCGTCTGATAGGTGAGATCGTCACCAATAATATGAAACAATTTTCACAACGATACGACCAACCATTCCGGAGATATTGCGAAACAGGCACTTCCACCAACAATTTTAAAATTTTCTTTGTTTCGTCTGATAGGTGAGATCGTCACCAATAATATGAAACAATTTTCACAACGATACGACCAACCATTCCGGAGATATTGCGAAACAGGCACTTCCACCAACAATTTTAAAATTTTCTTTGTTTCGTCTGATAGGTGAGATCGTCACCAATAATATGAAACAATTTTCACAACGATACGACCAACCATTCCGGAGATATTGCGAAACAGGCACTTCCACCAACAATTTTAAAATTTTCTTTGTTTCGTCTGATAGGTGAGATCGTCACCAATAATATGAAACAATTTTCACAACGATACGACCAACCATTCCGGAGATATTGCGAAACAGGCACTTCCACCAACAATTTTAAAATTTTCTTTGTTTCGTCTGATAGGTGAGATCGTCGCCAATAATATGAAACAATTTTCACAACGATACGACCAACCATTCCGGAGATATTGCGAATCAGGCACTTTAACCGACATTTTACGTGTTTTTTTGTCTCATGTTTCTTTGTTCGTTTCAATTTTTTGTGAACTTTTTTTGTTTTCTTCTTTTTTTTGTCTTGCCTTTCTTATTTTTTCTTTTTAACTTTGTGTTTACCTCAATAATTTTTTGTTTGTTTTTCCTTTTTGTTAATTTCTTCGTTTGTTTTTTTTATTATTTTTGCCTTAACATTTATTTACTTTTCTCTTTTTTTATCAATACTTCATTGTAACGTTATATAAATCACCATAAATTATATATCTCTTTTTTCCGTCGGCATTGTCTTTTGACCATAATATTTTCAATGTTCTGACCAGGCTGAAGGCGCATGTTCATGTATCCGCACCATGTCACGAGTAGGAACGCCGTTCTTAAGATGCCCTGCAATCGCAGCCGGGTTAGATCAGATGATCCTCGATATATTTATTGCCTATCAAATATATCTTTGAATCTCCTCGCTTCTCTCTTTTGATTTCACTCGGTTGGTACGATTCATATTATGTGTTACTGGTTAAAGTGTTGTCATACTTCAAATACCTGTCTTATCTTCAGAATCATCCATTTCTCCTAACTCTGTTCGCAGACTCTCGTTAATGACAGTGAAACTTCGCGATCTTCATAAAAATGTGTAACGAACAGCTTTTCGTTATTATTCTCCTTCGTCCTATGTCCTGCCAATAAATGTCTTTATTTCTAAATCAAATCTGCTTTGTTCAAAGGATTGCTTTTTAGTGAAGGTGGAGGCAAACGTGATAAAAGTTAAGGGTTATCACCATAGAATTTTCTGGGGAATCTGCCTAAGAGGATGCAAAACATAGCGAAAATGGCATGTATTTGGGCGTAAAATAGACATTTCGGTAAAATGTGATATATACAGAGACAAACGGCTGGACAACGTGAGACGTTTTTGGTTACGTTTACTCTTTATTTGTTCGTTTTTTTCATAGGAATGTTCATTTTATTTCGCCTGCTTTAGTTGCTCTGAAAAGTCACAAATCTCCATCATCTTGAAATTGTCTGTTTTCTTGGAATTGAAACAGAAGGCATGGCAAAAAACCTGGAGAAATTTTACTGCGCTAATAAAAGAATCTCATTCATATTCTCAAGTAAAGAATTGAGGATTGAATAAACAGGGACACCGCGCTGGTGGTTGTTTTAAAAATCTTTGCAACGGTTTGTGCTTCATTTCGTCGATGTGTAGTGTATGGCATTGTGATTGTATGGTTCACTTGAATAGTGCATTAGAAACAAGTTATAAACATCATTTTTTTTGTCTCCGTTTGGTTCAAACACTTGATTTGTTGGTAGACGGATCAAAAGCTTTCACGGTGAGACTACAATTTACGGATGAATCAGTCATATGTAAGATTACATGTCTGCAATTTTGGTGCGAAATTCATCCATCCATTTGGCTGAATAGCGTTTCGTTATTTCGGCTTTGTCAGTTTCGCAACTGAAACAAAATCTAATTTCACATACAGGTTTGTAGGTAGACAGCCCCAAGGTCACTAGCGTCGCTGAAACGTCGTCCATGAATTGTGGTCTTACCATTTTCGCTTAATTAGCTTACGTATCTAGTAGTAGTAGATAACCAGTGACCCCAGGTTGTTTCTAATTTCTGAATGTTACCGAGCCTAAGCATATGCCTAAGTCGGTGCCCAGGAGTAATTAGGATTCTATGTCATTAAATCACCTTTAAGGCACCTATACTTCAGTGGGTAGATATCCAGTAATTTGGAGTGCTCTTCATTACGTTTGAGCTTGGGTCCCGGGACTGATTTTATGGCTCGCTTTGGTATTCAATGAAGTGTGTTTTTGTCCTTTTGAAGTGAGGATGGGAACACTATACTTCCATACCCTAAATGGGGTCAGATAAAACTTAAAGAAAAAGTTAAAGTTATGCAGTCAAACTGCCTAGAATGGGTTTTGACTTTATCAGTGCAAGGTTTGTTTGAACGGCGTTTTTGCTTCAGTTATCGTAAAACTAGGTCATAGGGTATCAAGACTCCTAGGCCTCTTGCGATTTGGGATGCCCATTAAGGGGAGTTACCTAAGTTGTGTGCGTAGTCTGTAACATGCCTCAGATGAACCAGTATGCACTTTGAAGTTCTATGAGTCGGTTGTTATCCGCCCAGCTTTACGGTCTATTCAGATCATCCTGAAGTGCCAGCTTTTCGTCTTGGTTGGAAACTGTGTAAAATTTTAAAGTCTGGTTCATCTTGTTTCTTCCTCAGATTCTTGTCTGTCAATACTGTCAACCTTCACTTCTTGGAATTAATTCTTTCAGCACTGACTGATATCAGTAGTCACATATCGAGAAAGTAGACAGATGCATGAAGTCAACTAACATCCTATTGAGTCATGCGAGAAATCAGATCAACTCATTTTTTGTACGGTGATATACATGTTTCTATAGATCTGTAATATGAACACATTTTTACTACCTCGATCTCACCGGAACCTTCCATTAAGCACGTGGGATTGATTATGAACAATCATTCTATTGATCATATAGGTTGAAGTGAATAACTACACACGCTAGGATCGTATGTGCGCTTACTGGCATTTTAGTTTTGAACTGCAAACCCTTTTGCTATATTTAATAGGATTTACTTATAAAAAACGTACTGTAGAGTGATAAAGATGCTAAACTAAAATCATAACAGTAAACTAGGGTTTTAAAACTTCGCAAATCGAATTTTATTTGTTGAAGTTTGCAGAATAAAAGGAATCATGGGTTTCCTAAGCTTTCACTACAATCTTATTTTTGCATAAACAGGGCGTGAAAAATCCAACAATCGCGATAGCTTCTCGTCTCAAGATTCCTACTTTCATAAGCTCTAGCATTTGGATGGATTATTATTATTCGATATAGTTAGGTCAGGGATTGAGGACCCCATCTCTTCCCTTGGTTTACATGTCAGACGACTAATCCGGTAGTTCATTCAAAAGTATTTCCAAAATTATATACATAGACGGGATGGGATTCTGCTTTTTCTGTTGAGTAGTCATCAGTTACTGTTAGAATTCTCTCTTACGGTTATAACCCAGCTATTCCTATTGCTTAGTATTCTCAGACACCGACTCACTCGACAAGTCCCCCAAATCAGAACACGGCTGAACAGGAAAAGAGATTATATTCCAAGTAACAAGGTTAGATGGAAGTAAGAAGCACAATAGAAAAACGTTAGTATATTTATAGTTTTCACATGAGAAGATTTCTAGTGTTCACTAAGTATTGCATTAGCCAATCAGCGTGCACCAAAGCAATCGTGCATTGAACCTGCTTTAATCCAGTCTATGTCCCGCCAACAGTTACACTAAATGGTATTAATGTATTGGATATATGCGTTTAAGTAGAGACGGGTTCTACCCAATAATCCTTACGTTGATTGTCACCTGAAACCGGTGAGACTAAAATGACTACGCTGTTAAACCACTTCCTGCCTCATCAATACACCTTTTATTAGCCGAAGATAATAACTATCATATTTCCTTTGTTTGTTATTAAGCAAAAAGCCTAGTTTTTGTTAAGGGGATCACTAGATACTGTTATCCATTTCCCTTAGGTTTTAGTTTATTTCCTGGGTATCTAAAACACATCCTGTAGGAATTCGTTGTGCGAATTACCCGGTATTTACACAAGTTAGTTGTTGGTATAATGTCAGATCAGTTTATGCTTATTAACGGATCTTATTTTTAGTTTCGTTATCTGAATGGTCTTACAACTCGGGAATCTATATTTGTGCATAATTTCAAAATATATTGCTTAATTGAACACCATGCACTTCAATTTTGTAGATGTCACCTGTCGAAGAACAACAGGGCGATAAACCCATTCAACCTAAAATTGGTATAATATATCCTCCACCCGAAGTAAGGAATATCGTCGATAAAACGGCGAGTTTTGTAGCACGTAATGGTCCAGACTTTGAATCTCGTATTCGTCAAAATGAGATCAGTAATCCAAAGTTCAATTTTCTGAATCCAGCTGATCCATACCACGCGTATTATCAACACAAAGTCCGAGAGTTTGCTGAAGGGAGAACACCAGAACCTGCTGCTCTAAAATTGACTATTCCTAGTGCTGCTCGTCTTGTTCAGGATACTCCAAAATCGATTCAAGAAACATTTACACCCAAGGATCCACCAGCTGAATTTGAATTTGTTTATGATCCACCTTCTATTAACGCAGTTGATATTGACATAATAAAACTTACAGCACAATTTGTTGCAAGAAATGGTCGACAATTTTTAACTCAGTTAATGAATCGAGAACAGAGAAATTATCAGTTTGACTTTCTCCGTGCTCAGCACAGTATGTTTGGTTATTTTACAAAACTTGTGGAACAATACACTAAAATCTTAATACCACCTAAAGACGTTGTTTCGAAATTGGAGGACGAGTTAGAGAAACCGAAACAGCTGCTTGACGATGTAAAATATAGGGTTGAATGGCATAAGTATCAAGAACGTCAGCGTAAGCGTGAGGAGGAGGCTGCAGAACGTGAACGTGTGGCGTACGCAATGATTGATTGGCATGATTTCGTGGTTGTTGAAACAGTTGACTTTCAACCAAACGAAGCAGGCAATTTCCCTCTACCGACTACTCCTGATGAAGTTGGAGCACGCTTACTAGCTGAAGAACGTGGTCTTCAGCCTCCTTCAAAGCCGTCAGCCCCTCCACCCCCCGGTTCACTTGGATTAATGCCAACTGATATAGATGAAGATGATACAAGTGACCAAGAATTAGATGAATCAGAAGATGAAAATGAAGCTTCTGGGCTTTCTCAACCTAAGGGCCAGGGTTTGATCAATCACAGCCCTCTACCATATCCTGATGAGACAGAAAATCGGGTTACTGATGATATCCCAACCCCACCTGCTGCTAATATGACTGATGTAGCTGGAGAAGATGATATGGAGTTATCAGATGATGAGAATATTGCTGAAGAACTCGTTCAGCAAAACAAAGTATCAGCAAAACAGGTACCATTATCTTCTGATCAAGTCATTATTCGGCATAACTACGACCCAAAAGCTACAAATATTAGAAGAGCAGAGGATTCTGTGCTTTTAGTATCACCTTTCACCGGCGAGAAGATTCCTGCTAACCAAGCTCCAAAACATATTAAGGTTGGGCTACTCGATCCTAAGTGGGTCGAACAGCGTGATCGAGAGATTCGCGAGAAACGTGAACAAGAACAAGTTTATGCTGCGGGAAATCTGATTGATAGTAGCTTAAAGCAGCTTGCTGAGCGTCGCACAGACATTTTCGGTGTAGGAGTTGATGAAATTCAGATTGGCAAGAAATTAGGAGAACAGGAAATAGTCAAGTCTGATAAGCTAGTTTGGGATGGTTACTCTGTTACTACAGATGTTGTTGCCAAAAGAAACTTAGAAGCGGTTACTGTTAAAGATAAGCTGGATTTATTAGAGTTCCAACAGAAATTGGATTCAGCTCGCGATAAGATTGGTCCTCAAAGCGGGGTGCTCCCTGCTCTAGGCATTATCCCTCCGGTACTGCATAAGCCGACAATCTTGTTGCCACCACCATCAATGCAAGGTGGAGTTACACAACCTCCACCGCCCCCACCCCCTCCCGGCCTTGTAATGCTTTCCAGTGCGCCACCACCATTACCACCAGGTCTATTTCCTCCCGGGATGCCACCTCCACCCGGCATAGCTATACCGAGTTTCATGCCTCCACATCCACCCATCCCACCACCACCACTTCCACCTCCAACACCTGCTAATGATGGAGAACCGGAAGCAAAAAGACCGAGAGAATAGTTGAGTAATATTGGTCAATAAGTGTACTTTTGCCCCTTTACCTTTGTATCAACTAGCTACTATCTCAAATATATTTTCCCATGTTTCAATGGTTTTATTTATATTAATTTGTTATTCTCCGTTAGTCTTTTTCACAGTAGTCTTTGATATCCAGTTACTCGTTGCAGTATGCTGTGTATATTGTAAACGACTTATAGTGACGAATTCACACTGATACACGACTTCATTGATTGTCATTAGTTCAAAGTAATCCATATTAAAAGTAGGAGGATTCGCTTTTTATTTTTATGGGATACGAATCCAAAGTTGTAATAAACTTGATGATTAGTTTCTGCTGTTGTCCTTTTTATAGTATTTTCATTAGATTTGTGTATATGTTTGTTGTAAGTATCAATCTGTCATTTAATTATCAGACACAACAAGTTCTATCTATGATACAAATAAGTCAACTACATCGTTATCTTTTCATGCTGAAGTAATTGAAGGTATTGTGTGATGTGATAATGTTGAAGCGCTTTATTTAGTTGACTAATACTCCATTAAACACTTGAGAAATAGGTTGAAAACGTCCAATCCTGAAATGCGATCATTGCTCTTCTAGCTTTGTCGATTGTATGGTATTTTTTGAAGAACGAGATGGATAAATGTTAATGATTGATATAAATACTAATGTTATTGATTGTGCGACTGACTCTGGCAGTATCGCGGAAGTCTACGTTAAAATTGTGATATTGTATGTGTACTAGATGAAATGCCCTGGTACGGCCGAGGGTAGGGAGAGTCCGCTCTCCTCGAAACGCTCTCACATTGCCACGCGTATATAGCCTCTACCGGGCAAGTCCTACTCACTGCCTTCTCGTGGCAGGAATGTTTACGAAAATGAGAGGACGAAAAGCGAATGTCCGGCGCTTTAACCGGATTCCAAACCAATGGTGCACATGGGCTCCAGTATCCCGCGGGAACAAATGGCGTATGAACCAATTGTTTGTCACCGGCTTCCATGGGACTGCATTTCCTTACGATGCTCCACTGCCTTGTGGGTTAGACCTTCAGGTCGAAGGCTCGGGATGTGGCCCCCTAAGAAAACCACCTGTTTCGTTTCGGGCACCCGGGCAGTATTACAGCCCTCACACGTCGAATGAGATTTGTGTGGCGCATATATATCAGGTGCCTCCTTGTACCAATATCTATGTGTTAAAATAAATAAACTAGATGAAATCGTATCGTTTGGTTAGAATCCAACTGTGTTCACTTGATTTTTTTCCTAGTAACATAGAGTATTTTTAAGAAGTATATTACTTAGTTAAGTGATAAGAAAAGTCTAATACGTTCTTAGTAATTTCAAAGATGTAAATAACATTATAAGACGCGATTTCAATAAATGGAAATCATAATTGATGAGATTTTAGAACTGATATTGCTAGTCTCTCGTTACATTTCAGTTGTGGTAGTAACTGTTTTCCTTTGAGTATGATGATTAAACATAGAATACAATCTTTTCTGATGGTCATCCACTTTTTGTCTTTGAATATACGTCGAAGTACTGTTTAGTGCAATTAATGAACATAAACGAGTGATAGTTATATGGTTGCAGTTAGCTGTTGGATTATTGTACGTGCTCATTTAGTTGTAGTCTTGCTTTATATTTATTCACATTGAAACAGTCAACAAGGCAATTACTGACAAGTGGAAGTTCAAAATATTTTGTATATCTATTTGCTATAGCCTGAACTAATTTATTCTGCAAGACATAGTTGTGATGGCTAGAAAAAAACATTTGGAATGGTAGTTAATTAAAAGTTTTCCAAATTGTCTAGTCCTAGAAAACATCGTTTCCAATACTGTCCACCTTATTCTACAAATACAGTATGTAACAAAAACCTCCGAGGTCACCACAATCGGTTATTACAAAGCTCATACTTAAAGAATCTGAACTTCTTTCTTGGATATTAAGATGATTTATTGAGCCTTTATAAGCTAGGACGGTCGAGATTTCATCATGATCACTCATTGTTTATTTGTTCACGAAATTTTGCTTAAAATAAGGGTGGGGTTATAGCTTTATTTTGGTCAGATATTGGATCTGTGTGTGGCTATCATTGATCGTTATTAAGTAGAGTTACGAGTCACATAAATCCATACTTGTAGGGGTTACCCGACCGTAGCTGCTACCTTGATGCTGTGGTCGGGCTTGCCTACCGTGATGACCCAATCGGTTGGCTGGAACATATGTTCCTGTAGGTTCTACCATGTCAAGCAGATCGATTGGAGAACGGTAAGACTAAAAGCAGCAACTCAAGGTCTGAGGGCGAACTCGTAAAGCTGAGTGTAGAGGGGTGTGACAGCAGTAAGGTGTTTCCATTGGGCAACCAGCATCTGCAGCGATACTGCTTCCTCACAGGGAAGGAAGGGGTTAGAAAAGGTCGACTCTAAATATGTCACACCTCACCTTACTTCATGGGTTTCCGTCTCCGCTGCTAAGGCCTTTTGAGGAATGGAGCTAACACGCCAAAAACTTCCCACAAAAAGGCCGTGATTGACCGGCCTCAAGCAGTTGTCCCTTGGGCTCTGCGGTCACGCTCCCAGGTCGTTAAGACCAACACTAATCCAACTTCCCTTTAAGGTGGTTCCTTAAGAAGTACCCTTCTACGGTGTGGGCAGCCGGGAAGTGACATGAGCCCTCATACCCCTAACAGCAGACGAGGCCAAGTTGGTCACAATCAAATCCTTCCTACACCTCCTAATAACTCTATCATCTCCACCGCCAACCCTTCTCACGTTACTTTATCATCCCGCACCGCTAGTGAAAACGATTCGAGTACGCGGAACGTTATTCCTGGTCTTCTGAAACTACGTTCTAAACTACATGTAGGAGATTTTAAAGTCCGAACACTGTGCCAAATAGGACAACAGGCTTCCTTAGCTAGGATTTTTAAATCTCGCGCCACCGATGTGTACTACGTCTCCGTAACGCTTATACAGAACCAGAGTAGCGTCGTTAATTTGACCTCACCATATCAAAATAAAGAATCATCTCGATTCACACTTCATGTATCTCGAAGCCCCGATGCTGCTTCCCGTGGCCTCGCTGGCGTAGGTATAGCATTGAGTCCTAGGGTAGAACTAGCTCTCTTAGATGGATCTCAGTAGACAGTCGTTTATGTACTGTCCGACTAAACGGAACAGTTAGGACTCGGAAAAGTAAGGACACTCGTTGTCTCTGCCTACTCTCCCACTGACTGCAGCTCAGATGATGTAAAAGATGAGCTGTACAGAAAGCTTTCCGACCTCCAAAAAGTTAGGCGCTCCGATGCAGTAATAGTGGCTGGTGACTTTAATGCTCAAGTAGGTAAACTAAGCGAAAAGGAAAGACACCTGGGTGAACCTTATGGTGTCGTGACTCAAAGAACAGACAATGGCGACCGTCTGTTGCAGCTATGCTCAGATAACCGCCTGTTTCTTGCAAATACTAGCTATTAGCATAGGGAAAAACACCTTTTGGCATGGCAACCCCTGATCACACCGCCATCAGACACCGATGAAGAAGCTCGATAGAAGACTGTCGGTCGTTCTGGAACACATGATTGGATTCAGATCATGTTCTAGTGCGAGCGCGTATTTGTCTGCGTCTTACTGAACGTAGGAAAGACACTGCAAGGAAACCTCTTAGGGTCCTACTTAATGATAGCCAAGCTAGGAATATATTTCAGGAACAACTAGGAAAAGTTAGGCAACCATGTAAGTAATGCCCGTCCCGAGGCAGCGCGGAATGATATCCGGAAAGCTGTGGGAACAACAGTGATATCTGCTAGTAAGGTAAACCATAAGGTTAGGGAGAAACACGGGATCTCAGCAGCATCCACCGCACTGATAGATGCTCGAAAACTCGTCCCATCTGGCTCTGAACATGACGAAGAGCGGAGTCAGCTTAAGCGCAGGCTGATAAGAAGCCTACGCAATGATCGCGAACAGTGGTGGGCAATAGACAACAGCAGACAACTATTCAGACTTGTCAAGGAAACCGGTGTTAAGAATCCAACTGTTAGCGAAACTATCTTGGAAAAAGATGGACATATTATTAACTCTCAATCCAGGAGATTGGATCGATGGGCAGAACACTTTAGGGATCAGTTCAACTGGCCTTCAGCCACATTTCAGTTTCCCAAGATCTCCAGTCGACCTGAATGGCGAGTTCTCCAACTCTTTACGAAGTTTAAAAAGCTATAGGAAATCTGAAGCGTGGGAGAACAGCAGGCCCTGACAGGTTTACCCCTAAGATTTATAAGGATGGAGGTCCAGTATTGGCAGTGAGATTGACTGAACACATAAATATTGGTACAAAGAGGCACAATATATATACATATATATATGCGCCACATAATGATAATAATAATGAGAATGAAGATATAACGAATGTAAGGTGCGTATAAGAAAAAGGGGGACAATAACGAATAGGAATTAGTGCATGAGAGTGAAATAATAATAATAATAATAATGTGAGAGACAGCTCAATCAGTAAAAGTACAGTCACAGAGAATTCTGCCACTTAAAGAAGTTACGTATTTTTTTATGAAGGAAGTAAATAAAGTTACAGCATGATCGCCACTGGCTTCCATTCTGAGCTATATTTGATAACGCCTCTATCCACTGTGTTGCACCATCTTTAAGTCCCCACCAGGGGGTCATCAAGAACTGATAGAAGCCAGTCCTGTACCGCTTTCTTTCATACCGCGACAACATACACTGACCACTTCTCCGCTCTTTCCAACCAGTCCCAGCGTCGGCAAATAATGCACGACGTGGAATTCTCTAGGACGACATTCGTAGAACATGTCCAAGCCACCGCAGTCGATGTTTCAAGATGGTGACACCTATTGAATTATCGTCTCTGTTCCCGAACACACGATGCCGAACCTCTGCATTACTAACATGGTGCTACCACTGGATGTCAGCAATCCTTCGGAGACAATGATGATTAAACACAGAGAGTCGTCTAACATCCTCAACTCGGAGAGGCCAGGTTTCACAAGCATAGAGCAAAACCGCTCTCACCGACGCGTTGTTGATCCGACCTTCTATAGTCAAAC